GAATTAGAAATCTACTGCGTTCCTCATCCTTAGACTACAGTCTCGTAGGGAAAGATAACAATTTTTTCATTAATGTGATCTGCCAACCAGTCAAAACTGGCATTTTGGTTAACAGCCTGACCTTCAAGACGCCTCAGCCCATTGAACTGGGGGAGTCAGGAGCTCTGCACTTGGCCTCCTCACTAATGGAATTGCCAGGACACTGTCCAAAATAATCCCGTCCCATCCATGCCAGAAACAAAATGGAACTAATATTAACACACGATCTTGAATGGAAAAATAGGAGCCCCAGAGCCCCAGGCACTTGTATATATCATGACACAGTCCAGTGCAAGCAGAAACCACTTTTCTTTGAGCTCGCAATCTCTAACTAGTACACGCTCCTGTCCACCTGCGGAAATAACTATTTCTCCCTCCAGGAAGAGATGCTGAAGACAGAACTCTCAAGCACAACTCGGGACGGAGATCCCGGAGTTGTCAGGGTCACCGGCAGACACAAAACCCCACCAAACCACCCGGCACCACCGCCGGGAGGGCACCGAGGGGAGACCCTGGGCTGCCTTTGGCGCTACCCAAACCCAGGGCGGGCACCGGAGGGATGAGAAGGGTGTCCGTCCCCCCCGCGCCGCCCCCCGGCAAAGCGGGTACCGGAGCGGGTACCGGCCCGGGCAGCTGGTCCCGGCGGCCGATCTGTTCTCCCCCCAGCCCCCGGTGCTACTCACGCCCGCAGCAGGAGCCCTCGCATCCGGAACGCGGATCCCAGGCGGCGCCGCAGCCGCTCCGGCTCCATGGCGGGCGGTTGGCGCCAAACGCGGCCGCGCCGCCCCCGGCCTGGCCCGGCCCCGGGGAGGGCGGAGGCTCCGGGACGGCCCCGCCGGGGCTCCGCCTGTGGAGGGAGGAACCGAGGGGCTGGGGGAGACACGGGCGGGAGCGCGCCCGCGGGAGGGCGGGGGAGGCCCGGGCCCGGTGCTTCCCGTTGTCCGACCTCCTGGAGGAAGGGATGGCTGCCACGTCCCCATAGAGTCATGGAATGGTTTGGGTTGGAAGGGACCTTAAAGATAATCTTTTCACCCCCCTGCCCTGGGCAGGGACACCTCCCACCAGACCAGGTTGCTCCAAGCTCCCTCCAACCTGGCCTTGAACCCCTCCAGGGATGGGGCAGCCACAGCTTCTCTGGCCAACCTGGGCCAGGCTCTCACCACCCTCACAGGCAACAATTTCTTCCCCAGATCTCATCTCCATCTCCCCTCTTCCAGTGTCAAACCCTTCCCCCCTCGTCCTATGGCTCCCCTCCCTGATCCAGAGTCCCTCCCCATCTCTCCTGGAGCCCCTTGAGGGACTGGAAGGGGCTCTCAGGTCTCCCTGGAGCCTTCTCTTCTCCAGGCTGAACCCCCCCAACTCTCTCAGCCTGTCCTCCCAGCAGAGGGGCTCCAGCCCTCCCAGCATCTCCGTGGCCTCCTCTGGCCCCGCTCCAACAGCTCCATGTCCTTCTGCTGGTGGTGGCCCCAGAGCTGGAGGCAGCACTGCAGGAGGGGTCGCCCACCCCAAGACCAGCACCCAGTTGTGCTGCCCACCAGGGTTAAGGTGCTTCTGTGAATTTCACAAGAAAAAAGCAACGTAACCGGGTGACAAATTTCTCAGGACACCTCTCCGCTGCCTGAGAGTTGAGTATGTGGTAAACTCTTAGTTCTCCAGTTCATCACTGCTCACATGCCAGCACTGTCAGATGGGGATCCCATCCAGATGGTTCCATCTCGGCCAACGAGCACACAATGCTCTCCATGGCTTTTTTTACACACAACCAGGAAACCACCATTACACACATTTTTTAGTTTTGTCCCTGGGGTGCTGAAGTGCCAGGAAAGAGCACGATGAATAAATACCCTGCGCCTCATACCGTTCCAGTCTTGTGGGGCCTTCTCTCCCGATGAAAAATGGCTGGTATTTCACTCAAACACTGAACCCCATCTCTCAAAGTACTGCTTTACTCCACAGAAGCTCACAAAGCAGCTCTGAAAGAAAGCTCCTTGATCAGAAGACTTGCAGAGATATAGAGATGGATAAAAAACATTGGCCTATTTTCTATAGTCCATTCTCAACATTGTAATTTATAATCCCTCCTCCTCATCTACTCTCTTTAAATGAAAACCCACCATCTGACAGGTCTCAGCTAGTTTGGCAGGAAGTATGATCCATTTTTTGTCTCAGGCAAGCAGCGAGGTGCAAATTATGAACCTGATCCTTACGTAAGTTCTTCTACTTGCTAAGATTACCACTTATTCTCCTTTGAAGAAAATCTGATTTTGACATTCAGCTTACATCTCACCTGAAAAAGGAAGGCACACCTGGAGAAGGAATGTACCCCTCATCTAAAAATAAACTCATGTTCTTTTAAGATATGACCAAACCGGGAATATAAAACACATCCCTGCAGCATCCTGCTGTATTGGGGGTTCTGTGAAGTTGCCTGGAGCCTCCCACCAGAGATATAAAAGTATTCCAGCATGAGCTGTAGGCTTCTGTTCCACCGAGCCATCTGTCTGGAGCTCAGGAAGCCACGCAGGAAGGGAGGTCATTCTCTACCTCTGCTCTGCCCTGCCCTGGGGAGGCCCCATCTGGAGCACTGGGACCAGTTCTGGGCTCCCCAGTTCCAGAAGGACAGGGAACTGCTGGAGAAGGTACAGCAGAGGGCTACTAAGATGATGAGGGGCCTGGAGCATCTCTCTCATGAGGAAAGGCTGAGGGACTTGGGTGTTTTTAGTCTGGAGAAGAGAAGGCTGAGGGGGGATCTGATCAACGCCTATAAATTCTTAAAGGGAGGGTGTCAGGAGGATGGGGCTAGTCTTTTTTCAGTGGTGCCCAGGGACAGGACAAGAGGAAATGGGCACAAACTTGAATATAAGAAGTTCCATCTCAACATGAGGAGGAACCTCTTTCCTGTGAGGGTGGCAGAGCCCTGGAAGAGGCTGCCCAGGGAGGTGGTGGAGTCTCCTTCTCTGGAGACATTCAAACCCCACCTGGACACGTTCCTGTGCAACCTGCTCTGTGTGGACCTGCTTTGGCAGGGGGTTGGACTAGATGATCTCCAGAGGTCCCTTCCAACCCCTTATCATGCTGTGTGACTCTGTGCCCAGCTCTTCGCCTCCACCAGCCGCCATGGCTTCATCAGACATTACCGTGCTTCAGTCCCCACACACATGTCTTGAGAGGGATCCAGCTGAGACAGCCGAATGGCTCACCATCAGACAGCACATCCACCTCATGCCAAAAGGGAATCAATAGGATTGTTTCCTTACACCAAGCACAATCGTCACATCTGTCACTCGCAAAATAATGGGCTGCTGACTTTACACTGTTCCTAAACTTCTTTCTGAGACATGACATTGCAGCTCTACCTGACTTATAGATCTATAGATAGTTTGCCTAATACCAGTGTTTTTTCTTAACTCTTCCAAGTGCTTATTCCTGTGTTTTAACCATCATCCCAATGCCTCATCATTACAGTTCTTCATTGTAATATTAGCAGTTATTGACAGGAATAATATCCTCACTCCTCGATCCAACAGAGGAAGTGCATGTCCCACTTTCACAGGAAAAATCCTTACAATTACTTTTTGGTGTCCTTTCATAAGATGCTGAAGTGCTCGTTTCTCACAAGCGCTATTCTGCTACTCTTTTTGAAGAGCTGAACCTGCTTTATTTTGAATTCCACTCATTCCAGCTGGATCCACAGTTCAGTGGGAACTCAACAGGTTGTTGATCTAACAGTGTAAGAGCTGGAAGGGCAGTGTAAGAGGCTATTGTTTTTCCCAGCCTGCTGTTAAAGGCTAGGCCAAATTATAGGAAAGACTATATAGTGGTGGGGATGACAGGAATAAAACTATTCTCAAATGAGAAGTGGAGATGATGGGAGATGGCCATCTCAAATGATGGGAGATGACCCATTGAGATCCCAACATCAGCTTTATTCTGTTAGTTACCTCTGGCTCAGCACTGGCCCCAACACACTGGTCCTGTTCAGCACCTCTGGTATTCTCCTCACATTCACCACACCACGGTATGTAGGTTCTTGCTTCATCTGCTTGCAGGCTGCAGGTTAGAGGACAACATTCATAGGATGTTCCTCTCTGGGGTCAACAGTTTGAACTCCTATACAATTGTAGTGGAGCATGTCCAGAGGAGGACAATGGAGCTGGTGAGGGGTCTGGAGCACAAGTCTTGTGAAGAGCAGCTGAGGGAACTGGGGGTGTTCAGCCTGGAGAAAAGGAGGCTGAGGGGAGACCTCCTCGCTCTCTCCAACTCCCTGAAAAGAAGGTGTAGCCAGGGGGGGTCGGTCTCTTCTCCCAAGGAACAGGCGATGGGACAAGAGGAAACGGCCTCAAGTTGCACCAGGGGAGGTTTAGGATGAATAATTGGAAAATTTCTTCACAGAAAGGGTTGTCAAGCCTTGGAATGGGCGGCTGCCCAGGGCAGTGGTGGAGTCACCATCCCTGGAGGTATTCAAAAGCCAGGCAGACATGGAGCTGAGGGGCAGGGGTTAGTGATAGTTTTGTCAATGTTGGGTTGATGGCTGGACTCAATGATCTGAAAGGTCCCTTCCAACCAAGGCGATCCAATGATTCTATGGTTGTTCCAATTAATATCATTTACTATTTCATAGCTGCTATTTCTGTCAAGAGCATAACCTGACTCGCCTTCAAAGTGAGTTCTGAGTGTTAAACCACCTCCATTATCAACACCCAGCTCTTCCTCCCCTTCTCGCGCTGGGTTTGTGTTTAGGAATCCGGTTTTCTGGGCTTTTTTCCTCCTCTCGTGCTCTTTATTCACAGGCTTCTCCATAATTTATTAGGCCTTCAATCTCACACTGTAACCTTCAGCCTGCCCCGCCGGGCAGGAGCCTGTACCCGCCCTCACAGGGCCCCTTCCCGGCACAGGACAAGGACAACCCCAGCCAGGTGTCCCCACACGGCCACCTCCGTGTCCCCCCCACTCCGGACCGCCCCGGTTTCAGCGGGAGGGCGGCGGGCACGGCGCCCGCCTCAACCCCCGGCCCCGCACGGGGAGGCGGCGGCGGCGGCGGGGCTGAGGGGAGGGTGACGCCCCACACTTTAAACCCTCCTCACTTCCCGTCCGCCTGAGGGGAGCGGCCGGCGGAGAGCCAGCCGCAGCCTCTCCCGGAGGAGGCGGTGGCGGGACGCGCAACACTGAGGCAGGCGAGCTGCTTCCTCCTCTTCCTCCTCCTCCTAAGATGGCGGCAGACTCTTCCGAGCAGTTCTGCGTGGCCGAGGAGCGGAGCGGCCACTGCGCCGTGGTGGACGGCAACTTTCTCTACGTGTGGGGGGGATACGTGGTAAGGCGGGAGGAAGCGGACGGAGGGCGCTGGGGGGGCGAGGACGAGACGGGGAGGGCGGCTGAGGGCGGGGTGGGGGGACACCACCACCACTACGACGACGACGACGACGGGGTAAGGCGGTCGGCGGGGCCGCACGGCGAGGAGCCGCGGGGCAGGGGGGAGTTGGGGGTGTGGGGGGTAATAGGTCTCGGCCGCCATGACCCACGTCCCCCCCCAACCGCCCCCTCAGCGGGCCGGGAGCCCAGCGCTGTTTACCTCAGCGCCGGCGCTGATTGGCTGGCGGGGCCGCGCGCCGCGCGGGGGCGGGCGTTTTAAATGGCGGCGGTGACAAACCCTGAGGAGAAGGGTGCGGAGAAACCCTCTTCCTCCGCTCTCCTCGCACATCTGTTTGTTCCCTTCATCTAAGCATAGTTTCTTCATGGCTGTCCCCTGCTCCCTTTTTGGCCGCCTCCATGGCGGAGCGCCTGTGGGGGAAGGGCTGGTGGAGCCGGTTTGCTTCCCCTGCGCTCTGGGAGCGCTTCCCTCGTCTCCCTTCCTCTGAGGGGTGACGGCTGTAATTTATACCTGTGTTTTTTTCCAGTGCGTAATTCGCGTTCTCGTTCTCAAGTCCCTGCATTTTTTACTTATTAGTAGCTGTATGTTTTCCTCCCACAGGAAGCGGTTCTGTCGCTTCAAAGACAAGCTGGTGACAGACTGAAACCAAATCTGCTTTTTTTTTGATCAAAAAATCAGTTCTAGCTCTGGCATAAGTAAATCCTTGTGACTCTAGATGAATTCACCCCGAAAGAAAACTATGGATGACACTACATTATACACCAGGTCATTTTATGCACAGTGTCTGTGCACATTGGCCCTAAAATGGGGAAAATAGCGCTGCTTGGTGTTAGTCCTGGCCTGGATCAGGTTGAAAACATGATTCTGTTGACATATTCTGTATTCTTCTATCTGTATTTTTCATGGGCTAAAGTAAACTTTCAAATCTGCATCGCTTGTTCCTTCTGAACTTAAGCAAAAAAATTCTAGTTGGGGGCTCCTGGATTTAAATTTGAAGATACATTCTGTGTTACGAGTGCGTGCAGTAGCAGAGGGAAGGACATTTCTAGGGCTCTCAGGTGGTTCTTTTTTTTAATTTTTTTTTTTTTTTTTTAATAACTAAAACCCTTGGACTTAAAAGGCAGGGTAGAGCTGGGCAGCTGGTGGGATTTGAGGAGTTGCTCTGCTCTCGACCTCCATTCGTTTGACCTGGGAAGGGTTGCGCTGCTGGTGACTACTGAAATACTGAGAATAAAACCCAGTTATTGTGTGCTGAAGTACAAACCCTCAGCTGTGGTAGGACTGGGGGCAGCAGGGGGGGCTTTCAAGCTAGACTTGCCTGATACCAAACTGTCACGATATGGAGGAACCCTCAGGAGCCTGTAAACTCTTCTCACAGCTTTTCTTCATTTTGGGGGGCTTTGGTAGGTAGAGTTCCTTGTGACTGTGAGTCGTGTAAGGATTTGAGCACATATTTTGTAGTGTCAAGAAGTCAGCCACCTTTAGAATAAGCATGTATTTAAATAATGTGAGTCATCTGCGGTGTACAGGAAGATTTAATGTCGTTTTCCGGCCTTAAACTCCATAATACCCTGTATAGCTATGCAACATCTAAATTGCTGGTAATACTTGGTGGTTCTCTATGCTTTGGTCTTTAGAAACTGAGGTTGGACTGGCTAGTGCAGTGTTTTCAAAGGTTTTTTAATAAGAATGGCCCAGTTAAAATGGATGAACTTTGCAAACATAGTTTTACATATTTATTTTTGGCGAGTGTTACGTAAATCATTGTTATTCTTTCAGCAGCACTTTAAGCAGGTAAATCATTTTACATGTTGATGATGGACTATTGCCCAGCTGACTTATTTTTGGCATCGGTGTATTTGCCCAGAGCTGGTTCTGTAGCAAACACTCGGCCTCTGACCCCTGCTGTATCTAGATTAAATTTGGGTTCTTCTGCACTTTGTGGAAGCTGCAAGCTGTGTGTAACTACCTATGAAAGGTACCTGGCAAGATACAATGTACCAAACATAGTGCCTAATGCCTGATTAACACCTTTCAAATTGAGAAGTAATAATAAAGTATAATTTAAAGGCAAAAAAAAAATTAAAGTAACTAAATTGTTAATAATTAAATTTCAGGTTTGTATTTAATTTCTTTTCTCCACAATCATTTAATTTTTATTTACTTTTTAAAATTTATTTACTGACTCTGGCTGCTTATTCCCTCACAGTCTTTCATTCTTTTTTCTAATACTAAGACAATAATTAATGGTGTAATTGTGACTCAGCCTAAGTGCTGCAGTTGCATTCTTTTGGGCTTCCTTCTCCTGTTTGTTAGTCTTCCTCATCATTATTGCCCAAATCATTTTTCTTTCTTACCTCTGTTTGGGAGTCTTTATAGATCTGTTTTCCAAAGAGGAGTTAATTTTCTCCTTCATTTTATAGCATAGGTTAAGTTCCTTTAACATTTGGTTCTTTCAGGTTCCTTCCTTCAGTCACTGCAAGTAACTGTTCTTTTTGTGCTTTCCAGTAACACTTTTCTCTGTATTTTTACATTATGCCAAAAGTTGCCTCCTAATTAAAAGTATCTCCCAAAACAAAAGATAATGAGTTTTACTTCAGGAGCTTCAAATCTGGTCTGGTTTATGTTGTTACACATCTTTCTTGGCAAAACGTTAAGTCAGTACATCTGTGCCTTTAATGAGTGGGCCTGAGGAATTAAGTTCCTTATTTTTTAAAATTAGTACTTTTTTTTCTGACTTCCTGCTTAGTTGTTGAGTTCTTTACTCATCTACGCAGCCTGGCCAAGTCTCGGTTTCTGGCAAAGATAAAAAGGGATCGTGGGGAAAAAAGCCCTTCAGGTGATGGAGAGCTCTTTTTTCCTTAAAGACCCCAAAAACCCCAAAGAACAGCATTAATATACTTTGATGCTTATCTTTGCTGTTCTGTATTTGGAGGTCGGAGGGCAAAATCTGTTCAGTGATCATGTCAGTGAACAAAAAAAAAATAATCCTTTAGTAACAGAGTTTTAATAGAGGAAGGAAGTGCCTTTGACAGACCCACTTAAGATTTTTAGTGTTTTTTAAATCCATGGTCATGTTCTGGGGCTGTTGTGCTACTTGTTAGTAGCAGTTGTGTATGTTCCTTAGCGACTTAATGGTTTGCTGTTTTCTTATTTTCAGGAACTGTATTATATTCATACTGCTTTTTGAGTATTAAAGCACTTCTCTTCCTACCTCTGATAAACCAAACTTATTTTTTTAATACTTTTCACACCTTACAGTGAGTCATTAAAGATGCTGTGAACAAGCAAGCTTGATGTCATCAGGAAATGCCAAGCACAGTATTTTTTAATGGCTTCAAAAAATGAAAAACATCCTTTTTCTGAACTTCTAGTATAGAATGTAAAATAGTAGCATTATTGAGCTGCCTGTTTAAAATTGTAATAGTCAGAGCTGTAATGCTGTGATATGACTTATGCTCTGGTAGATTATCTCCTTAAGATTATTCTGTGTTGCTAAGTAACGTGATTTGGTATTTCATTTTAAAACGTATGGTGTGTAATGCATAATTGATTTAACATTTGCAAATTCTTTTTGGTTTTAGTCCATTGAAGAAAATGAAGTTTATCTGCCTAATGATGAGCTCTGGATCTATGAAATGGATAGTGGATTATGGTAAGTTGCATAATTTATATTTAATTAATATATAATCTTTGCATAGATTACAATTAGCTGTGGTGAAAAGACTTCAGTTACGTGAGTTATTGGTTATGTTCCCTGGAGTTTAAATAGATGTTTAATGTAAAGAATGAAGAATAGATATATCTACTTGCAAATTAACTCTAGGAAATACATTAATTCCTTAAGTATAATTGTATTTTTCAAGAGAATGTCTGAATGGTTGTCTTAAGGCTCTGTTGTTAAAACAGGGGTGTTCTATTTGGGAATTTATTTTGGCTTAGTTTTCCATACGTTAACTTTTTGTTGAGAGGAATATCTAAACACTGAATATTTGGGTTCTTGATCTATTTATAATGATGTATTTTTTGTTATTACTTAGTTGTGTTCTGCGTGTATTTGCACAACTGATCTTGTACATCAGTAGCAATTTAGTCTTTACATTTTATATTGATTGTGTTTACATATCATATTAGGGGAGAGATAGCAAAGCCTCCTTTAAAAGTTTTCTGGTGGTTTCTATTACAAGAATTGCATTTAGTCTGGTAAAGTAGTGTCCATTTGGGCTTCTAGCTGTTTTCTGCCGGCTGTCGTTCCAGTCTTCCACCTGTTCATTTATTTCACTATATTATTTCACTATATTATTTCACTATATTATTTCACTATATTATTTCACTATATTATTTCACTATATTATTTCACTATTCAAAGATGCATTCCATACCCATATTCAAAGCAAGGACTTGGAGGGGGAAAAAGGGAGCAGGGTGAGCTCAGGAAGGTGTCTTACGGGGTGTATGAAATGCCACATCTGTGTGGGCAAGTCACTGACATGGAAAGCAGCAGTTTGCATGCAGTTGCCTGTGAAATCTTAGCAAATCTCTGTGGGTTTTTTTGGTTTGCTGCTCATTTCTTTGGGTGAAAGAGTTGGCTAAACTCAGTTTTCACCCCCGACGTCTCCATATCAGTGGTACCAGTATGGCTGTTTATATGGTCAGATGGGAAATTGGATCAGGAAAGCGATCTGGGTTAAAAATAACTTCTCTTTTTGGGGGGTTATTTTTAACCTGGATCCGTTCTTGGTCCCATTCAGTTTTACAGCACAAACAGTTGTGAGCAGCTGGGAGCGGGCGCCGTTTTCCGTAGGGACGGGTTATGCACGTCTCATCCACATCTGGTGACTGAGCCCATAAAAAGCTTTTCCTTTGAATGGCTGCCCCCGGATCTTTTAGGTTGGGATGAGGTCAAGCATCAGAACTTAAAGCTGTAAGAATTTTTGTCTTCTCTGTAGCCACCAGTGATAGAAAACAGAGGCTTCTGGTCTAGATGCAGATGTTACTGGTTTGTGAGATTAGCCAGGAAAAGGCTAGGAACTGCTGCTGAGGAACAGAGAACTCATTGATAAAACTTGGCATTATTGAATATTTTTTTATTATGCTAAATACAGTGCAAAATGCAGCTTTAGGAGTGGCATATTGATTACCAAACTTAGTGAGTACTTCTCACCTTTATTCCTACTTCTGCCTCAGTTTTCCGTTTGTAAAAATAACAGCAATACCATGTTCTCATTTCAGGAGTTTTTGGAATTAATAGTATTTCCAGGCTTTGAATAATTAGTGTTTCAGCTCTACTAGTAATCTTCTAATATGAGTTTCACCTCCAAAAAAAAATTGAGATGCCTCAAACGCATGCACAATATTAATGGGAAAGTCCTCTTACGCTGCAGGAGCCTGACTTAATGTATCAGCGATAGTTTCTAGTTGTGGCCAAAAACATTGCAATTGTATTTTTAGGTTTAAGTATAAAAATTATTAATTCCTGTAGCTTGGGTTTGTTAATTTTAGCAGGTTTGAAAGCAGTATTGTAAGACTTAATGTGTGTATTAAATTGCAGGACAATGCACCTAATGGAAGGAGAGTTACCCACCTCCATGTCTGGAAGCTGTGGGGCAAGCATTAATGGGAAGCTGTACATTTTTGGTGGATTTGATGATAAAGGATACAGTAATCGGGTATTGTATTCTTTTCTTTCATAACATACAGCATTTAAATGAAAAATAATTCTGACATTTTTTTGTCTGCTGTACTTTCCATTTGAATTAAGGAGAAATGTAAGGAAGAGCTTAATTTTGGTAGGCAAAGTGTAGTTTTAAAAGTATGACAAAAAACTCCATACGTTTTTGGGGGATTTTTCACAGAATCACAGCTTCAGAATGAGACCCAATACATTAAACTTTCTGTATTTATTTCTGAAAGCTGCCAGTGCTTTCCCACTTTCCCACTTGCTTTCTTTTTAAAATAAGTTGGAAGCCATAATTGAAACAGATCTCAGAATTTCACTTTTATTTTTGCTCTTTGATAGTGATTGCCTTTCTTATATAATCATTTAGTAATTAAAGTTAAAATGTGGCTGCCAGTTTCCCTCATTAGCTGAAGGCTGGAGTAGCAAAAATAGAGGAAATGAGCTGTTTTTATCATTTAGTATCAATAGTTCAGTCCTGGCTAGAAAGGAGCTGCAGTGGAGCCTGTAATCAGATCTTAGTACTTGCTTCACGAGCCTTGTTGATTTTTCTGGTTACCTAGTTAGGTTGGACAGAACTAGTTAGTGAACTAGTTAGAAATGAATGAAGAGCTGTTCATCTTGCAGAAGTTTTTTTGCAAGGCTTCAGTTGGCTTTGGAAGGAGCAGGTTATTAATATTCTGGTCTGGCTGATTAACAGCAAGGAAATGTGCTGCTAATTCTCAGGCTTCTTGTGTTCTCCTTGTGTATCACACTCTTCCTATATGTTGCTACATATTGTAAACTTCACTGACAGTTCCTTTTTTTTTAAAAAAAAAAAGGACATAGTGTATTCTGGGGGTGGTGGGATGTTCTTTTTGCTGGTGATTTGTGCTGGATTCTTTGACATCATTTATACTGAAAATGTTGTAATTTTTTTCTTTTAAGCTGTATTATGTTAATTTGCGAACAAAAAATGGAACCTATAGGTGGAAAAAAATCACAAATTTTAAAGGTCAACCTCCTACACCACGTGACAAGCTTTCCTGCTGGGTGTATAAGGACAGGTAACACATTAAGAATATTTAATATGTGTTAATTGCAGAGAGGAAGTACTGTAAAGTGAAGAGAACACAGGTTTGGGATTCAGGAAACTCTAATTCTTAGCTTGGCTTGCTGTGGGAATTTGTGTAACTCTTCTAACAACTTTCTACCAGAGTTTTCTCACATTTGAGCTGAATTTAGGGTAAGTATAAACCCACTTTAGGAGAGGGTTGGGAAATTCAGTGAAAGTTTCTGGAATGCTTTGAGACTTTAGATAAAGATCATTATGCATCTATCATGGTTTTAATTTTAACATAGGTTTAAAAACCAGTATGAAAATGACATTGTTTTTTGTTACATTATGTAAGCATAGAATTGTTAACCTGCAATAAAATATATTTGGTGTATTTTCAAGGATTTTAATAACATACAAATGCTGATAATTACAAAGGCATTTCAGTGAGTATCTTTTTTCAGTGAAAGTTTCTGGAATGCTTTGAGACTTTAGATAAAGATGGTTATGCATCTATCATGGTTTTAATTTTAACATAGGTTTAAAAACCAGTATGAAAATTACATTGGTTTTTGTTGCATTATGTAAGCATAGAATTGTTACCTGCAATAAAATATATTTGGTGTATTTTCAAGGATTTTAGTAACATACAAATGCTGATAATTACAAAGGCATTTCAGTGAGTATCTTTATTTTCTAAGAACCAAGTCAGCTTAGATACATGTTGTAAAAGTTACTGAGTGTATTTAGAAAAACTACTTATCTAAAAATAAATACTTTGGATTTTGTGTTTATTATGGAGAGTGTGTGGATCTTGTGGCATATGTGGTCACAAGAAAGTGACATATCAGTGATTTGTTATAAAAGTTACTGTAAACAAGTAAGAAAAGTATACACAGTGAACACTGTAAAATGTAAATGATTTTTCTGTTTCTGGATTTCACATCTAAAGAGGTTTTGCGTAAACTGTATAATGCCTCTCAGTTACTATATCTTGGTTTTGTAATTCTAATTTAACTGTGAGATACATGAAAGTAAATATATTTGAACAGGCTCTCCTTAGCTATCAAGATTATTCAAAACAAAGTTAATCTATTCAGAGTATCATGTGATCCGCATACAGAGAAAATTACCTATTTTAGGTGGCAGAGCTTAACCCTTTCATTTACCAGAAGTATTTGGGGACAAGCTACCCACCTTTACAGAAGTTTATCTTATTAAACTTTCACAAGCTGTGATTTTGCAGGTCAGGATGTCATGGTGTCTTGCACGATGCTTTCAGTAACTCTGTTTCCCCAGGAATGTCAGTCTGGAATGACCTTCACCGTCCCATCATTTCCTAAATTGCCTTCTCCCAAGATCACTAACAACTAGAGCAAATATCCTCAAAATGTTGAAGTTAAAACAAAACTTTAGGAATCATTACTTATGGATGGCCATTTCGTGGGTGGAATATTAGGCTGGGAGGTGTGTAATACTCGCGATATGTTCAGTAGTAAGTAGTTGAAAAACAAAAATGTCTTTATAAGCTGGAGAAAGTCTTTGTGGGTCACAGAGAGTCTGTGAGCTGAACCTTGGGAACATTTGTTGTGACGAGACGTATATGGAAAGCTAAGAAATACAGCAGGAGCTTAGGAATTTCAGTAGAAAAGGGTAGGATTTCTAGCATTTCACTGCCTTCTGTGCAATGTGTCGTTTTGAGACTCGTGTCTGAAAATATGACTGTGATAAATAAGCTTGTGGATGGAGGAGTAGAGGCTTCAAGGTATCTTAAACCTCCTTCCTTCCTTCCGTGGATTTCTGTCAGGCTTCTGGAGGAATCTAACTATTAACCTTCATTTCAGTAAGGTTTGCTGTGTAATTAGATGCTAGATGAAATATTTCAAGTTGTTTATATTATTCATAGTGCAGTAGGTAAACAAAAGTTTGAAATTAATTATGACAGTTAATTTATTTGAGTGTTATTTACAAAACAGCTAACTGAACATGCTTGTGTCCTTGCTTTTTTAGGCTAATATATTTTGGTGGTTATGGCTGTAGGAAGCATAATGAGCTGAGTGATTGTTTTGATGTCCATGATGCATTTTGGGTAAGAGATTTGTCACAATTCAGAGTGATTTGTCCTTCCTGATTGTCAAAACATGTTTTTTTTAATATACTATACTCAGTAAGGATGAAAAACCTGACTGATTTTTCTTTTATTTGTAGCATCAGCGGAAATGCAAATTAGAATCTTCTGGTTAGATTTGAAATTTCAGATATTACACATTGGGAGCAGTGGGTGTTCAGCCTATTCCAAGTACCCCGTTCTAGGCATGGAATGCAATTAAACAAAATGCTGTCAGAGCAGGAACAAAGGCACTTTTTTAAATCTGGAGACATATTTTAAATATGAAACCCCCAGAAAACTTTAGAATTTGTATCGTTGAAGTAAGAGAGGGAGTTTGTAGCTTCACAAGTCTAACTGACAAATATTGTTAGTTAGTTTCTTTAATTTGTTATCTGTTACTTTAAGATGCCTGAATTAGGTAGTTTCCTGTAATGATTTCTTACAGTTAATAGAAAGAAGGAAACTGATTAGAATGTTTAGTGACAGGAATTAATAAGAAATAGATATGCATTCGAGAGAGTATAGTTCCTTGCATCAAATGGTAAATATTGACTTACAGAAATGTATTACTGAGAAATAAATAGATTGTACAAAGTATGTTGCAGTAAAAATTAGAAGGTAGACTTTGTCTCCTGCAGTGACTGATGTGAAGCCCAAAGCCCATTTTCAAGTGTGTCATCAGCTCTAACATTCCTGGATGCTGTTGATCTTCAATTAGACTTGAGCCATTGAATCATTATTAAAAATATTAATGTTTGTTAATAAAATGCTATATTTTAGGGTTTTTTCTGTTTTGATAGATCACTTCTGGGTTTGTATCCTTTAATAAGCACAAAGATTTTAAACTAGAATAAACTTGGTTTTAATTTTTTCACTTCTTTTTTTTTTTTTTTTTAAGGAAGGACAAATATTCTGGGGATGGCATAATGATGTTCATGTTTTTGATACAACCACACAAACTTGGTCTCAGCCAGCAATTAGAGTGAGTGTTTTTCCAGTTTTGTCTTTTAATACAATTGGGATTTTACTGCGTTTTGAATAGTTAAATGTGCTCTAGAAATTGAGGTTGGGAGAAGTAATTTGAATATGCTTAGTATTGCTGGGGCTCATAACATTAAACAGGAGGCCACTCAGTGCCTCTGAAATGTGGAAAATTCAGGAATGAAAGGAATATTGTTTTCCCACAGGATGCTATTAGACTGGTGGTTTTGCTGTAATGGGGTTCTGTTGCAAAAAATATCATAAGCGTCAGAAAAGTATTAGAAATCTGAATACATTAGAAGATGGTACGTTATTCTGTATCTAGGGGATAGTTTTGAGATAAAGCTTTGTATTCAAGCTTCTATTCTTCAGCAAATATGCTATTTTAATAGTCTTCCAAAGGAGCAGGTATACTCACTTTCCCAGTAAAACAGTAATGCACACATTTGTATTTATTATATTAATATGATAGTATATTATAAAGGTTCATAACATCCTGGTGAGTTTACATAAGAAATCCGTAGAAGCAGCATATTGTAATGAGGGTCTGACAATATTTTATGGCCTTTATAGGAAGTTCTAAAATTCCTATAAAACTAAATGCAAAAAATGAAATTACCATTGAAAAGTAAAAGCCAATTTTGCTATCTTTATTTCTGATTTGCCCAGGGAATACTTTTTGGCATGTAGTTGTTGGATGTAACATCACATTTTAAGATGTGATTTCCAGAGATTTTTGTACCAGTTCCTGTTGGTTCACACTTTGGAAAAATAAAGCTGCACGGGATATATCAACAATAACTGATGTGTTACTGTAGTTTTATGCTTAGGAATTAAAGATAAATTGATTGAATTTCACTTAAGCAATGATAAATCAAATCAAGAGATGATATATTAAACATTAGCTACTGAGGGAACTCAATTAAAGCTGTCCTTGGCAAATATGTGTGTCTTCTAATGGCTGTGGAGACTTGGACATGACTACAAATTATTTCCTTTTGAAGTTGCAGTTCTGATGTAAGTTGGCCTTAATTTTGCAGTCTCTGTGGTAC